TCTCTCTCTCTCTCTCTCTCTCTCTCTCTCCTTCTTCTTCTTTCTTTTACCCTTGTTTTTCTGTAGAGATGGCCAGCTCCATGCAAGGAAGAAATCCGTGGGGATCAGAGCCCTGGCCTCGGACCCTTAGACCCGGATGGCATCTTCTTTCTCGCCCTGGGCTGGCCTGAGGGGTTTTAGGGGTTGGGGGGGGGTGGAGCAGGTGACGGTGCTGGCTTCAGTTAGATGTCGGAGAGTGTGCCAGGCTGGCGCATCGCGACTGAGTCCCGGAATCTCGTTCCCCTGCCTCCGTTCCTGTCTGCTGTTGTCTTGCAGTCCGCGTTCTCTTGTCCCCGCCGAATAAGTTGGGATCGCTGCGGGAAAGGTGTCCCATTGCTTGGGGCTGCAGGAGCAAGGGAGCCCACCACAACTTTCAGCGGCTGCTGGGGTCCATGGCTTCCCAACAGGGCTCGGGAGCCTAAGCTTTCAGAAGCATCTCGGATTTCTAAGCTCGCCCATCTTCTGGCCAGACTCCCTCAGATCTTCAGACTTTCTTACTGCATTAATTTAACAAACTGGCGACGTACAGGATTGGGGGTGGGGGGCGAGGGCTGACGGGAGGGTGTGGGAGAGGGGAAAATGGGGGGAAAACTCCTTAGAAGCTTCAAACCCTCCCACTCGAGGTATTCATTGGCCCGCAGTTGCGAAAACCATATCTTCTCTCCAGGTTCGGCCAATTGGGCGTTAGGCTCTGGGTTGAGTTTAACCCTTGGAGTACTGGCAGAGCCCAGCCTCCAGCACTTCTCAGGCCCCACTGTCTTTGCAGATCTCCTGTCGCTCCAGGGAGGCCATAGAATTCATCTTTTGAAGTCTTTCAAAATCTTAACCTTAATTTTTTTTAAAAAAGAGAATAGTTGTATGTAAGCAAAATACCACGAGTCTCAATCCAGATGTGTTGTGGATAGGGGTGGGGGACTCAGTTTATCATTTTAAAAGTGTCACATGGAACCAGATCCCTCTATTGTTTAAAGTGCTAAAGATATAATATTTGAGCCCAGAAGACTTAAGGATAAATAAAAGTTCTGGTGGACAGAGTAAGTCTCCTTCCAGGGTCATTGTGGTAGGGAAATTTAGGAAAAAAAATTTCTTAGTTTCTAGTGTCAAAGGGATGCTGAGCTGCCTGGTCCTTTTGGCAGAGACAGAAGACACTCTCCTCCATTCAAACAGAGGACATTTGATTCACATCATACAGACTGGGGACACTGGGCTCCAAATTAACGGCAGGGCCAAGGAGTGCATGAAGGTACCTTGCTCCTATGATACTCCCTCTCCCTCTCTTCTTCCTTTCCCCCATCTCCTTCACCCACCTTCTTCTGTTTCTCTGCCTTATCAGACTCTCAGAAATGAGATATACATTTCACTGTTGAGCCCATCTGGGTAGGTAGAGTTAATCAGATTTTCTCCCAGCTAGGGGACTTTAGTGGATTAAGAGCCTCTGCAGGATTTTCTGGCCCACTGGAACTCACTGGGATTCTGGGGGCTCTCCCTTCCAATGCTGCCTAGAGAGGACAGGCCTTCTATTAATCCAGCATACTCAGGAATTCCTTACTTGGGACAATGGTTCTCCATTCTCTGCAAGTTCAGGTCTTTTCCCAAGTGAAGCTTCCTTTCCCAGCTCAGGACCAGGCCAGCAGATCCTCACTCTCCTGTACTGCAAAAGCATATGCCGGAGAGACTCTTTCATGGCTTCCCTACACCAGGGTTCCCACAATGTTCTCGGCAGTGACTGAAAAGGAGATTTGCTATCAATGGTGGGTGCTCACACGTCTGATGCAAATATCTATGTAGATTCACCGCATTGAATAGATGCATGTAAATTTGGAGCATATGTAATCGAAAGCTGACCATTATCAGCACACCAGCGGATATCCTACACAGCCTCATTGCTCTCTAGTCACATCTTGGGGTAAATGTCATTGTCTTTGCTCATGGTTTGTGTGCATGTATGTGGGTGCTCTTGAAGGTGAACTTAGATTTTCTCTCCCCACTTTTTTTAATCTCTCTCTTTTCTTAGACAGTCTCATGTTGCCCTGGCTGGCATAGAAGTAGAACTAGATATGTAGGCCAAGCTGGCCTCAAACTCACAGAGATCTACCTGTTTCTGCCTTCTGAGTGCCGGGACTAAAACCATGCACCACCATGCCTGGCCTAAAAAGTGTATTTACTCCCATGTGCATAATTTATTTTTGACTTGTGTTCTGCATTAATCCTGAAGTAAAGTGTCTATGTGTATTCATATATTTCTGTTTGCAGTTGGTTTCTGTCCACATAGGCCTATATATTTATCTATCATATATGTGTGTACGTGTCACATATATGCATCAACATGTGTCCGTGTGGTGCCCCAGAGACCCTAGAGCAAGTAGCAGGTTGGCCACTGTATGCTTGCTTCATCTGTCTAGGAAACACTTGCACAGTCAGATACAAATGCAATGTCTAGCACTTTCCTTTACTCTTCCCACAGTGGTGTGTGTGTGTGTGTGTGTGTGTGTGTGTGTGGTTTGTGTTGCCAATGGTGGTTGTAAATATTTCCAAATATTTCCTAGCTCATGGCCTCTGCAAGAGAAGAAAGAGACTATGGCATAAATGAGGGGCACTTGTGTCCTATTTTCTATAAGGCTGATACTTTCATTCAGTTCATTCACATGAACTGAGTATGCCCCAAGCATAGAATAAAAGGTGGGCTGAACTCCTGGCATATGCAACCGCTTCAGAGACCAGGTATATAAGGGTCTGTCCGGTTTATTAACCTTCTCAAAGAGCCAACTCTTTGGTTGATTTTAGTGTATTATTATTTTTTATTCTCATTTCATTAATTTCTTCCCAAGAATCAACTGATGGGATGACATGAAAATAAAAATTTCTGTGCAGCCAAGGAAACAATCAGCAGAGTTAACAGGCAATCCATAGAATGGTAGAAAAATCTTTATCATCTACACTCCAGACAAGAGGCTACTATCCAGAATTTACAAAGAATTGCAGAAGCTAAACCCCAAGGAAATAAAACTACCAAGCAACAGATGAGTGAATAACTGACTAGGCGGTTTTCAAAAAAAGAAACACAAATAGCCAATAACTGTTTTAAAAGTATTGGGAATCCCCAGCTTTCAGGGAAAAGCAAATTAAAACGACTGTGGGATTATACCTCACCCCAGTCAGAATGGCTACCATCAACAAACCTGTTAACAAATGTTGGGAAAGATGTGGGAAAAATAAGAACCCTTATTCACTCTTGTTAGGGTGCAAATTAATACAGCTATTGTGGATATCACTTTAGAGATTCCTCAAAAATTAAAAATAGAACTATCGTATGACTCAGCTGTTTCACTCTTGGACATATAGCCAGAGAATTTTGTACCATACAATGAAGATATTTGTACCCCCATGTTTATTGCTGCTTTATTAAAAAACCCTTAGCTCCCTGGTTTTAATCACTAGTCTCTGAAACAGCTGCACACTGTAGAAAGAAATTGACACATAAATCTATGTATCTTGAAAGTTGTTCACTGACCACCATATGTGAGCTATTCTATGTATGTACCCACACACATGCACCTCTCCCACATAAAATAAAAGAATAAAAATGTAATACCATTTTAAAAGAAGAAGAAAGTTAAAGGTAAGGGGTACAGAGTGACTATATATATATATATATATATATATATATATATGAAAATGGATGGACTTAGAATGTATAATATTAAACCAGATCACACAATCTCAGAAAAAGATTTTACCATATGCAAAATCTAGGCAACAATACATATGTGTCCATGTAGCTAAAGCTACATGTGGAAGAGAGAGTAAAAGAGGCCAAAGAAAAGGTGATGAAAAATGACCAAATGAACGCAGGTGATGGACATGAGTTAGGAAAGAGAACATAAAGCTAATTGCTTATTTAGTTCTAACTCTGTCATGGAGAATTTTTTTTTTTTTTGGTGGTAGATAAGTCCATAGAATATATTTGATACTAAAAAGTATAAAAGCGAATGTTAGGCTTCACAGCTTCCATTTCAAATGCTAATTCTAACTATATATAAGTTCATAGCATTTATAGACTTTGTTTCTGGTTAACTTTGGTGTGTGATATTTTTATTTGTTTGTATTTTTAAATAATAAAGTTTATAAAATAAAAAGCGGGCAGAGACTAGTGAGAAGAGAGTTGCAGTTGCAACTTTACGTTTTTTTTTTTTTTTAAAAGATTTATTTTTATTTTCAACCATGTGTCTATAGGTGTCTGTGTGTCGGTGTGTGAGCTTGAGAGCCGGTGCTTGTGGACACTAGAAGAGGGCATCAGATCCCCCAGATCTGGAGTTGTGGCAGTTGTGAGCCTCCTATTGTAGGAGATGGAGACTGGACTCTGGTCCTCTGGAAGAGCATCGAGTGCTATTGATGGCTGAGTCAGCTCTCCAGCTCCAACTCCACACTTTTTAGCTCTACCCCTTAAATGTGTCTCACTTATACAGATAAACA